TCATTTGGATTATTTAAAATTTCACAAATCCTCAATCCTCTTTAAACTATTTTTACTTCATTTTCAATCCCCTTCTTTTTGCTATAATAAAATATTGATTTTTAATTTTTTGGAATAATAAATCGCTGCGGAAATATTATTGTTGGTAATTTTTGGGGGTTAACTCGAGATATCCTAATTAACCGACGGGAAACAAAGTTAAAAATTAAAATGTTAACTTAAGAGCTTGCTTAAGAGCTCGCTTAAGAGCTCGCTTAAGAGTCTTAACTAACATTTTAATTTTTAACTTTAAATTTAGAATAAAAGGTGTTTTTACACCTATTACCCCTTTTGCAGAACGTTTTACCCCACTTGCCAAATTACCCCTGATTTATAACTAACACAAAAAAATTTTAAAATTGTATTTTAATTTTGAATTATTATTAATTTTAAATTAAAATTTTATTTTATTTTATTTAAAAAATTTAATTTAACATTTTTTTTGTTACAAATCAGAGGTAACTTGACACGTGGGGTAAAATTTACTCTCTCGAATAGGGGTGAAAGGTGTAGAATTCCTGTTTTTTCCCTCTATTTGCGAATACGGAAGCGTATTTTAAGAAGCACCTGTATTTAAAGAATGAAATTAGTTTTTAAGGAAAGATCCTTGCGGAAAATATAGACACTGTCCTAATAAAACATTTTTCTGGTTCCACTAATTTCCGCTTGTCCTTACAAATGAAAGGGTTCACTGCGTGTGCAATATGCCGTGGCCTTTTTTCTCAAATATTTGTTATTTCAGACGGCGGATGTTCCGAAAAATGAAGAAGAATGCTTTGGAATTTACCTCGTCGTCTGCCAAAATTTCTCTCCTCTCTATTTTCAATCACATTCTTTATTGAATTTTCTTTACAATAAAAAAAAAATGAAACAAATTATTTTAAGTGGAAAAATTGTTTTTGATTATGCAAATAATATTAATAATTAAATACTATTATTATTATTATTATTATTATTATTATTATTATTATTATTATTATTTATTATTATTTATTATTGTACTATAATTATTATATTACAATTTAATACTGAAAGAAATAATTGAATGTTAAATAATTAAAGAACTAAATAATTAAATTACCAAATAAGGAGAGCAAAATTATTTGATATTGAAGAAAAATTTGCATATAATAAGCAAATTTTTAATTACACTTTTAATTATAAGCACATAAGAGTGTATACTATAATTAAAGCGAAATGGAATTATTTTCCTATTAATTAAAGTTTCCAAAAATAATATATATGCAAAATAAGAAATGAAAAGATTATAAAAAGAAAAGAGGAGACAAATATACTTATGAATATAAATTTATGCAACTGCATTTCGCGATCCTCTTAAATTTTGACTGACAAATGCCGCCTCCCTCTAATCGTTCAATCACTAAAAAAAAATTAAGAAAAAAAAAGAAAAAAAAAATTCTTTTTTTTGCGAGATGCGTTCAACAGTAGAAACAAAACCACATCGAAAGCCGCCTGGCAACACCCAGTTTTACTCCTCCCCATCCATCTCTCATCGTGCGCATATTTTTTGGTAGCTAGTTTTTTTCCATTAAAGATTTATCATATACCCAAAAACCTTTCTCTCTCTCTCTCTCTCTCGTTCTCTTTTGCTCTCCTTCTCTCTTTTGAAAGTACGAAAAAAAAAATTACACGTCAAATGAAAATAACTGAATATTTTTTTCGTCAAACAGAAAAAAAAATTGTTTTTTCGCATCAAACGGAGATTATTTTATATAGATTAAAAAAAATTCAAAAATTGATGAAAAGATATATGAAAAAAATACGAGGAGAGAAGGGGAGGAAATAAATAATAAAACAAATATTCATCAGGGTAAATATTTTTTTTTTACGGTTATGACAAAAATTGAAAATTTATAAGTATAAATATTTTATTCAATGAAACTTTCATTGGGAATTATTTATGAGTTTTTGAAGTAACTCTTTTTCTTGGCTTTTAATCACCTGTCGATCATTCGTTTTTGACATCCACTTTCATGGTACTTTTGTGACACAAATTGAGTGACAACAAAAAAATGTCGCATTTATGAAACTTTCGCAGATAATTCGGATGTCACTGCTTGATTCAATTAAGCCACTTTGCTGAATCTTTTTACAGGAACTGGTATCTTCTTTTATATATATAACAGCACTTTCTGTATACCCCACGGTATAATAATCGACCCACTTTAATGTGCGCGGTATTTGCGCAATGTCAGTAAGTTGTATGTACATTCCATTGAAAGAATTCTAACGAGAGTATTTTGCTTTTGTATTCTTTTACATTCAATATGTATATATTCAAGTATTAACTGTTGTTTTCGTAATGAAAAGTACACGTATATATATTATATTGTAATTTGATCGCGGTAAAAGAAAAATTTTATTCTTTATACATTCCTCACTTATTTTATATCGACAATTTATCATTGTTTAACAAAAAAAGAACAAATTTCTACATTAGTTAAATATATTGTTTCATTTTTTTGTATTCTGACTCTCTCTCTCTTAATTTATCCTTTAAATATTATTTTACATAAAAAAATGTAATTTCAATTTAAGAATATACTTAGCACATATACTTTCTAAATTTTAGTTAGTATAAAAATATTAATTAATTTAAATTAGTGACAGAAATTTTTGTTTTTGAAATAGTAAATTTTAGTAATAAACTAGCAACAATTCGCGAGCGGCTAATTTCTCACTCGTTTTTTTTTTTAAATAAAATTATCAATTTTGAAAATAATAGAATCTAAAAATTTGTAATTCAATTTTTTATAAAAATAAAATATGTGAATTGAAATTTATAGTTTTAATATTATTATAATTATAATAATCATATATTCTGTCATGGGGAATTCAAGGAAATGTCAGGAATTTCTATTAAAAGTACTGGAAAAAATTAAACTTTTAGAATTCATAAGAAAATTCTGAATTTATGTGTAATTTTTGTTTGACTCATAAACTATAAAATTATCACGAATTCTAATAGAAAACCTTCAATTTTTTCAATTTCTGACAAAAATTTCTTTTTAAATAACTTAAATATCTTGAACAACTATCGTAAAATAAATAAATTATTTAATGAATAATTTTACTTAAATATTTAAAAATTAATTCAATTTAAAAAGATTTTCGTTTACAATTTTCATAAATAAATGAACTTCAAACGGTTTCAATTTGAAATTTCATAAAATTTCAATGTTGAATAAATTTAATTAGAAACTTTAATGAACCTAGATTTTTGGAAAATTTCAATAATTCAAAATCTTCTCAAATTAGTTAAATTTGTCAATTTATATTTAATTAATTATTAAAAATAATCGATTTATAGAAGAATTTTAGTTAAAAACACTAAAAAAAAAATTGAATTTTGAAGAAGACACAAACTGATTGGAGAAATTCAATTATTTTCAAATGAGTAATAAAATTCTTATCACAAAATTCAATTATGTTTAAAATTTACAAAAAAAATCTCAACAAAATCCCAATTATTATCTTTAAAAATAAAACAATTCTTCTTGAAATTCAATTATTTTCCAAAACTTTAATAAAATTCTTGTCAAAATTTCAATTATTTTCAAAATTAACAAACATTTTCACAGAAATTAAATTATTTGTAAACATTTTAATAAAATTCTTCTCAGGAAATCAATATTATTTTTAAAAATTTTAATAAAATTCTTAGCAACTATTCAATTATTTTCAGAAATAATAAAACTCATCGCAGAATTTTAATTATTTTTAATACAATTTTAATCAAATTTCTTGAAAAATGTAACAATTTTAAAAAAATTTATTAAAATTCGTCAAAAGAATTAAATTATTAAAAAATTTGTTAATAAGATTCTTTATAAGAATTAAATTTTAAAAAACATCTAATTATTCAATAAATAATTTATTTTTGTATTTAAATAATTGAATTCTCGTAGAATTTTCTAATAAAAATTGATTTGAAAATTAATTTTAGTTTAATTTTAGTTTAAATTTTAGATAAGAGAATATGAAAATAATTTTTAATTAACAATATTCTGATAATATTAAAAAATTATTTTGACACTCAATCCTCTCTAATTATTATAAGTTGTTTAATTATTTGTTAATCTTAATTTTTAAAAAATTTTCTAATTTGTAACATTATTTTATTATAAATCATGAAAAAATACCTGCATATTTTCGATTTGTAAATTTTACTAATCAATTAGTAGAATTACTATTTATTAGTAAAATTTAATAATAAATAGTAATTCTACTAATTGAGCAGTAAAATTTATTAATAAATAGTAATTCTACTAATTGATTAGTAAAATTTACTAATAAATTGTAATTCTATTAATTCAGCAGTAAAATTTATTAATTCAAAATCAAAAAGTCATTTAGTAATTGAAATTAGTAAACATTTTGATTAATTCAAATTTAGAGAGTAATTTATAATATTTTATACTTGAATTTAGTATATTCTATTCCTAAAATAAGAAAATATATTTTTATTTTAAGGATAGTATATTATACAGTAAGAAAAGCTATCCGTCAGTCATAGGAAAGTATGGGAATCGCATAAGTCTGTCTCACTCCCACTCATGGGATATGACTGACGTGGTAGGTTTTCGTACTGTATACTTAATTATAATACTTAATTATAAAAATTACTATTACAATTAATTAATATTAATAATTAATAAGTAAATAACAATATAATAATTAATAAATAAATAATAGAATAGCAAACAAATAAATAATAGAATATTTAGTAAATTAATAATAGAATAATTATTACAACAATTATATAATAATATAATCATTAATTCATAACTATTACTATTAATAAGCGAATGAATATCACACGAATTATTTTAATTATAAAATAACTGAAAGTGAATAAATATTTGAATAAAATTAAATTAAGATTGTCTCAATCTGTCAGAGATTTCAAAAATTATTTATATATAATGACAAAAATAAAGCCATTGAATGTATATTGTGATTGTTTTCAAATATCAGTATATTGTCGATATTGAAAGTGTTTACATCGAAAATGAGTGTATCTGAGGAATTTAAATCGCAAATTTTGAAAATTATTGAAAATTTTGCAACTAAAAATCTCGAAGAATCGGTAAGTTTTTATATTGTTATTTTTGTAAATAAAATTGTCGACTTGATTTATTATTAATTATCGTAAATAAAACCACACATGATATACGAATAATAATTTTACTTTATATAATTATTTTATAAAATTATTATAACTTCTACTTTATAAACAAGTTATTATAATTATTTATTATAAATAAATAAATATCATACATAAAATAATAATAACTAATATTATTATTAAATTTTTAAAAATTAACTTACTGATTTTATATGATAATAATAAGTAAATTGTAATTTAGTATCAGTGCTACTTGAATCTATAAATTGAATATAAAGGAATAAATTTTTATGGTAAACAATTTTTTACCGCTATTTTTTCTATTATAATTTAACAAGTAATTTTTCAAATTGGTTCTAGTCGAAAAATTGCTAATTAACAAATTTTATTTTAATTAAATAAATTTAATTTATTATTTTAGTTTTAATAATTTTAATTAATAATGTCATTAATAAAATTAATAATATTAAGGCCATTTGAACCTTGATGACGTTACAGTTTGTGCAAAGCATGTGTGACGTCATCAAGGTTCAAATGCCCTTAATAATAAAAATTTTAATAATAAAAAAAAACAAATGTGATGAGTATTCTTTAGAATTTAATGTCAACAGAAAAGTTTTATTAACTAATTAATTAATTATAAATAAATGAAAACTAACTAACTATTTACATAATTTTTTAGGAGCACGAAAAATGGCTAACAAAATGGGAAATACGAGAAATTTTGAATGAAATCGAAAGAGATTATTTGGAAGAGAAAATAGAAACGGATACTATCGATAATGAAACAAAAGCGTCAATTGTGGAAATGGAAAGTCTAGAAGATCTCTTTAATCAAACGTAAGTTAAAAATAAACTTTTTGGTAAGTTGAAATAAAAATTGTAAAAATTTAAGCTACTTTTTTTAATAAAACTCAAGTTATAAATAAACTTTTTGCGAAATTACAAAAAAATGCTTAGAGTTTAAGTTAAAATTTTTTAAAATTTAAAAAATAAATAGAAATTTTCAAACAAAATTACTTTTTGTTTAGAAATTTCCAAAATTTGAAGATTCATTAATTATTCTATTAATTGAAAGATATTTTTTAAAAATAGAACCGAAATTACTAACAGGAGCAGTTTTCTCAATGATCTGGAATCATTTATGAATAAAACAGAAGAAAAATGCAGAAACATTGAGGTTGATGTCAATACAACTGCTATTATTGAACCACCTTTGGAATTCACTGATGAAGTAATTCACACAATTAACAATAATATAATAATCATTAGTTAATTAATAAAAATAATATAATATTAATAAATTATTAAAATTAATATAATAATAATTAATTATTAACACTAATATGATAATAGTTAACTAATTATTAATAATAATATAATTATATAATTAATTAATTACTAATAATAATAAAATAAATAATTAATTTATAAAATAATTAATTAATTGATAATAATAATAATTAATTATTAATTATAAATTAATAATTTTTGTATTAACAATTAAAAATTTCGAACTATTTTAATTTTCAGTGTTTTTTTGTCCTCTATTTACTCCAGTAAAATAATTGTTTTTTTTCAGTTGAATGCAACAAACACTAAAATGCCAATAAGTCCAATTGTTTTACTTAATGATGTTGGAAGGACGGATACATTCGAAATTAAAAGTCCAGGTGATACTAATAATTTATTGCCTCCCACCATCACGGAAAATAAGAAAAATTTACCAGACGGCAAAACGATACAGGAATTCATGAAGAAACTTGATTATCATGAAAATAAACTTTTCAATATTGTAAGAAATATTTTTGTTTCTAGTAGCGAAAACTATTTATATAAACCAATTGTTGTTAACAATTATAAATTTGTGTCTCCAATTTTTCAAAATACTCAAACAAAAATTAAAAAATTCGAATTTAATTATTAATATTTTACTGAAAAATGAGAATTATTATAATTTTTTTTGTATTTACATTAACATTATTCATTCTATAATTAATATAAAATATTTTTTTCTTTCAGTACACAGAATTTAAGGAAATGAAAGGGGTTCGTATTTTTCAATTTCTTAAAATCGTTGTTTTTTAAATAATTAGAAGTATTTTTTTATTGAAATGAATGAATTACTCTCTAAATTTGAATTAGTAAAAATGTTAACTAATTTGAATTAGTGACTGACTTCTTGTTTTTGAATGAGTAATTTTTACTAATAAATAGTCATTTCTACTAGTTTATTAATAATATTTACTAATTCAAAAACAAAATAGTAATTTCTACTAATTTATTAGTAATATTTTCTAATTCAAAAGCGAAAAGTTAAAAGCAAAATAGTAATTTTTACTAATTTATTAATAATATTTACTAATTCGAAAGTAAAAAATCAGTTAATAATTCAATTTAGTATTTTTACTAATTCAAATTAAGAGAGTAAAAGAAATTTTCTTTTCTAAACGAATAAATAAAACAAAATTTTCTTAATTTTAAATAAATGATTTAAAACATTTTTCTATTTTTAAATAATTAAAATTTGAAAAATAAATTTAAATATAGAAATTAAAAAAAAAATTTTAACATTTTTACTAATTCAAATTATATTTAAAGAAAGTAAATACAAATTTTTTTTACTTAACTGGTTTGTTTTTTTTAGCAATTCCAAAAAGATGTAAAACAAACCAAAAGTGGATCTCAAAATTTGAAGAAATCACCCACACCATCGATAACGTATCTCAAAAAAAGTGCAGCACTCACCAGTTCTCCAAAATTGGGATCATCGGCAAGAAGAAGCATTTCCTTTTCATCTGTAACAGATAGGAAAAAATCAAGTAATTTTAATACAACTTCAACGCTTCTTAATGCAAGAGAAAAAATTCGCAGTGCATTACAAAACAAAAAAGATACAAATCCAATTCCAAGAAATCCAAAATACGCCAATGTGCAAAGCACAATTCCAAAAGCATTTGTTCCAAAGAAAAAATAATTTCAATCAATTTAGAATTATTTATAAAAATAGTTCAAAATATTTCGAAACAATTAGAAGTATTTTAAAATAATTAGCAAGTATTTAAAAATAATTGTAAATATTTAAAAATAGTTTAAAATATTTCGAAACAATTAAAAATGTTTCAAAATGATTAGAAACATTTAAAAATAATTCAAAACGTTTAGAACTAATTAAAAGTATTTAAAAATATTTAAAAATATTTGAAAATGTTACGAAATAATTGAAACTATTTAAAAATAATTGAAAATATGTATAAAAATACGTTCAATTATTTCGAAACAATTAAAAATATTTCAAAATGATTAGAAACATTTAAAAATAATTCAAATCGTTTAGAACTAATTGAAAGTATTTAATAATATTTGAAAATCTTACGAAATAATTGAAACTATTTAAAAATAATTGAAAAGTATTCAGAATTAATTGAAAGCATTGAAAAATAATTTAAAATATTTTGAAATAATTAAAACTATTGGAAAATAATCGAGAATATTCCGAAATAATTAAAACAATTTAAAAATTACGATTAATTGAAAATATTTCAAAATAATTTAAAATATTCAAAAACAGTTGTAAATATTTTTAAAAAATTGAAAAATATTCAGAATTAATTGAAAGTATTATGAAAAATAATCAAAAATATTTCGAAATAATTGAAACTATTTAAAAAATAATTGAAAATGTTCAGAATTAATTAAAATTATTTAAAAGCATTTGAAAATAATTGAAAATATTTAAAAAAAAAATTGTAAATATTTAAGCATAATTGAAAATATTTAAGAATAATTGAAAATACTTAAGAATAATTGAAAATAATTAAAAATAATTATTAATTACAACGTTTATCACATAAAATACGAAGCAATTTTTATAAAGAATTTTATTAAAATAATCGACAATCTAAACTTTCAAAATCCAACGTGATATTAATTTTTAAAAACAAATTTGCGATCTCTGTGATAAAGAAAATTTTTATATTTTATTTTAATTAGTTCTATGTTTATTTTAGTTATCAAAAAAAAAATTTATTTACTTAGCAATAATTGAAAGAAAACTAAATTTTACAACTGCTACAATTTTTATTATTTTATTTTTCGATTAAATTATTGTAAATTATCTATTTATTATTTGTTCACTTACTTTGTATTAATAAATCGAATTTTAAAAAAACGCCAAATACTTTTTGTTCTAACTATTTCAAAGTGATAATAAAAAATATTTTTTTTTCTTATATTTAGTAAAAATGTCACTCTTCTTTTTGAAAACTTTTTTTTTCGAAAAAAACATTTTCTTTTTGAAAAAAATATTAGTTCTATTAAGAAGAACTTGAAAACAATTTTCGTCTCTTCTTTTTAGTATATAGCGTGAACAAACATATAGAGAGAAAAAAGAGGAACGTTTTTACAAACAAGCGTTTCTAATTACACCTCTGTTTTGTAATGATGGTTTTGAAATTTTGATGCTGTGGTGCTTGCCGAGTCTAATATTCTGCGAATGCTATTCTGCGATTCAAAACTTTTTTATGAAGGTCCTTTGAATGATGCCGAGTGGGCAGTTCAACGCGGAAAAAAAACCCCCCAAAAAAAAATGAAAAGTAAATAAATAAAAAAAACAGTACACTCTGCATTTCGAAAGATGGGCGTCCCTTTGGCCCTTCGCCACCTCTTTTTACCCTTTTCTTTTTTATTATTCACTCAAAACGACAGAGCGATGCTGTGTAAGCAGCCTAAAGGCTATACTTTTAATCACACACACATTCAAGTATAGTCCAGGCAATTAATTATTTTTTTTTATATTTAAATTTATTTTCTTTTCTGTATAAATAAAATGTCACCTTCTGCAAATAAAATCTTTATGTTTATAAATGAGACGCTCTCTGAAAAAAGGTTTCTAAGAAACAAAGAATTTTAGTTCGCCTTACTTTTATTAATCAAGTTTAAATTCAAAATTCAAAATTAATCAAGTTTCTTTTTTTTCTTTAACTAAAATAAATTTTCATTAATCATTTTAGTAAAGAACACTTAAACATTACTAATACAAATTAAAATAAATTAGTTTAATTAAATTAAAATTAAATTTTCATGAAATATTTAAAATCTATTGGATATGAGCAAAAATAAATTTTCCTTATAGGAAAAAATATAAATATAGAAAAAAATGTTGTGTACACATTTTGGATTAATGTTCAACACTGTATATATAGGAAAGGCCGAGGGGCAAAACAGAGGTCTATCTGCCAAGCGAACACCTTGTGATCTTTAATGTTACGCTTTGAAATAAAAAAAAAAACATTTTTTTCATTTTGGTCCGACAGAATAAAAGACTTTTGATTGCCGACGAATTTATTCCCGCGAGCTAACGGATGAAGGGATTGCTTAGGATTATTTGCTAAATACAGGTAGATACGATTTGTAGGTGTGTTGAAACAACACTTTGCTGTTCTTTTTATTTATTCTCCTTTTAATCTTCTTTTTCACTGTTCAAGCAACTGATATATGTAGAACGAAAAAAAAACAATTTTTTTATTGGTTTTCAAAATTATTTACAGTAAAAAGACGAAAATAATAAAAAAAAATAATAATAAAACTAACTATTTAATTAATTTAATAATTTTTTACTTTTTCCCTGACTCTAAAGAATATTCTGATTTACTCTAAAAATTATAAGATACTCAAAAAAATATTCGAATACTTTTACTTTGAGAATTTCTTTAAATTGTAAAATTATTTGAAAACGCAATAACTTCTTCTTTAAATAAATATTTAATTATTATTATTTTTCCATGGGAATTAAGATTTTGAAAAATTTCAAATTCGAACCTTTTTGAAATTTAAATACTTATAATAATTCTTCGAGTTCTTTAATTATTAACATGAAGAAATAAAATCATTTTTTTATATTATAAGAATATTTTTACTGTAACTTATTCAAAATTATTTTCATCATTTCAATTCAATTATTATTTTTTAGAATTTTTAACTAAAATTTTTCTTTAAATCAATTATTTTCGTATTATTTTTAATAATTTTTTAAAGAAAAGTTCTTTAAGAAATTTTAAATTTATTTGTTTATAATTAAATTTAATTTTTATAGAAAATTTTTTTAAAAATAATTGAATTATTTTGGAAAATTATATTAAAATAGTAGATATTGAAATCATTGAATTGAGGAAAATTTTTTTAAATAATTGAATTTCAGAGCAATATTGTATTATTTATAACGATAATTGAAGTATTGTAACGAGAATTTAAAAAAAAAGTTCAACATTATTGAAATTCTGCGAAGAATTTTATTACTTTTGAAAAGAATTGAATTTTTGTAACGAATTTTATAAGATTTTTTTAAAATAATTAAATTCCTGAAAAGAATTTTATTATTTATAGAAACAACTGAATTCTTTCTTTCTTAAATTGAAAATTTTAAAAATAATTGCATTTTTCGAGGAATTCAATTAAAATTGTATTCAAAATAATTAAAATTCTGCGATGAGGTTTATTAATTATGAAAATAATTGAATCTCTGTAAAAAATTTATTATTTATGACAATAATAGAATAATTACAAAGAAATTTACAGAAAATTTATAAATAATTGAATTTCAAAGAAATATATTTTTTTATAACAATAATTGAAATTGTGACAAGAATTTAAAAAAAATTTTCAACATAATTGAATTTCTGCGAAGAATTTTATTACTTTTGAAAATAATTGAATTTTCGTAACAAACTTGATTAGATTTTTTAAAATGTAATTGAATTCCTGAGAAGAATTTTACTATTTAGAAAAATAATTGAATTCTATTTTCTTAAATTGAAATTTTTAAGAATAATTGCTGTTTTCGAGGAGTTAATTTAAAATTGAATGAAAAATATCATTGCAATCCTACTATAAGTTTCATTAGTAATAAAAATTATGGGATTTTTGCAACGAATTTTATTAAAATTTTTAAAAATATTTAAATTTATGAGAAGAATTTTATTACTCATAAAAATAATCAAATTCTTGCGAAGAATGTTATAAAAATCTTTTTAAGTAATTGATTTTTTTCTCGAACATTTTTATAAAAATTTTGTTTTAAATAATTTGATTAATTCCTGTGAATTTTTTATTATTTATGAAAGTAATTAAATGTTTGCGTAAACTTTAATTAAAAATTTTTTTTTTAAAAACTAATTCTTTTCGAAAAGTTTAGAAAAGAATTGAAATTTTGCTGAGGATTTTATTAAAATTTTTGAAAATAATTGAATTTCAGAGAAGAATTTTATTATTTATAAAGATGATTGAAATTTTGACCAGAATTTAAAGAAAATTTTTTAACATAATATTGAATTTCTGCGAAGAATTTTATTTTTTTTTTGAAAATAATTGAATTTTTGCAATCATTTGTAACTTCTCTAAAATTCAATTCTTTTTTTAGTGTTTTTAACTAAAATTTTTCTATAAATCCATTATTTTTAATAATTAATTAAATATGGATTAAAAAATTTTACTAATTTCAGAAGAATTTGAATTATTTATTTAAATTTTGCAAAAAATTAAATTAAATTAAATTTCTAATTAAATTCATTCAAAAATTGAAGTTTTATACAACTTCAAATTGAAACCTTTTGAAGTTCATTTATTTGTGAAAATTGTAAGATCAACTCTTATAAAATTCAATTATTTTTTAAATATATTTTATTCTTTTAAATTTATAAATATTTTTGAAATATTTAAGTAAAATTATTAATTAAATAATTTCTTGGTAATAATTTCATAATTGTTCTTCAAGAACCAAGTTATTTAAAAAAAAAAATTATTGTCAGAAATAGAAAAAAATTGAAAAAGTTTTATATTAGAATTCGTGGTACTTATAACAAATAATTATAATAATATAATTTACATGGAAAAAAATGAAGAATAATTGCGCAAAATATCAAGTTTTCTTTAAGAGAGAAAAATTATACAATTGCAGTAGAACCTCCTGTGGTGAATGTATTTGTTGGTAAATTTCTTTTTGGGCAAACATACATCGTGAATGGTTTTCACATA